AATTTTCCAAGCTCTCCTCTCATCACCTGTCTCAGCACCTTACAGACCACTACTAAAATTTAATTTCCGACTATTCTCTGCAACCCAAAATTGTCAGAGGCAAAAAGAACCCTTCCAGAGAAATTCAGAAGCCTCAGAAGACAATTCTTCTTCACAGCAAGATCACAATCCGCTCTCAGTCATGGTGACCACCATGACTAGCACCAGAGAGAAAATTTGGGTCGTTGTAGCTAAGCACAGGCTTTTCACTTCATCGCACACTGCAGGAAGAAGGTAAAGCTGCCTTCCAAAAAAACTGCATCGATAATGAAGATGAAGTGCGACACTCAAGAGCTGTGAACGGGTGGATAGGAGGATCACCGGGCAGTCACAAAGAAAGCTGACCTGTGACTCGGTGACTGCAAACGGCAAGATAGGATGAAAAAAAATAAAGCCCAAGCAAACAACGAAAACTACAAAAGAGGGGCAAGAATACCTCACCAGCAGGTTTCCCCCTGTAACACAAGAACAGAAAGCAGGCAAGGATTTTCTTCACATCTTGGCATGTGTAACTAAAGCTGACTTTTAATCCAAATCACATAGAGGCACATATACATGGGGAAAGGCCACTTTGTCACAAAGTCTCCAAAAAGAACCCAGAGATTTGGTGTTTGCATTTTGGGTTTGGGGCTGTCAAGATTGTTTTCACTCAGTTCCACGCTCTTAATTTTCTTTAGCCCTAACTTGTCCTCCAGCCTTTTAATAGTGGCCTGGAGCAATCTTGAGCGCATCACCGCCCCATGGCCTTTTGAAGAGGTCTCCCTCTTCAGAAATTTCCCTGGGAGTGGGCTCAGGGAAGAGACAGCTTCAGGACAGTGCCAAGTCCTGAACATTCTCCTGGAGACAGAAGTTGTCAAATGCTCCTCCATAAGCAGTGCTATCAATCAATTCCTGTATTTATCCCTCTAAACCCGTTCATACCCATGTCCAAAGCAACCTGCTAGACTGCTTCTCAACGTGCAGTTGCACACTTGAGCTTTCCAGAAGGTGCTCAGACATTACGAAGAAAAGCAGAAAGCACACTTAAACAAAAATCAAATGTACTGTCTGCACCACTCACATCCCATTTAAGACTGTCATTTCTCTTCGCCAGAGCTGTCACAAAACCTCATGCAATAAATGACAAGCCAACTCCAAAGCACTGCACCTAGTAAAAATTTAATATAATAAAACAAATTGAAAACGGCAACATTATTTTTACCATTCACGATTAAAGTGGAAAAATTATAAGGCAGCCATTCATGGAATGATTCTGTGTACAAATGGTTTGGAAAAAGAGACATTAAAATTACAGTTCCATACATGGAGTCAGGTAAACAGCAATGACCACGCAATTTTTTCCCTGGAAAGCCAAGGCTGCTAAGAGATGTAATAAAAGGACAGTAAGAAATAGACACTTATTTTATTTTTAAAACAAGTCTGAGGTGAACAGGAATCTGAAATTCATCTTAACAAATCTGAAATTCATCATAAACATTCCCACCATCCCACAACCACTCCTCTTCCTTCCACCCCCAAAGAAGAACACAAACAGACTTCCCTCCTCTTCTTCCCAGGTCCCAGCACAGAATGGGGAGCAGCAGCACCTCTCTCATTCCACAGCATCCCTCTCTCATTCTGCATACAGCTGAGACCACACCCACACATCTGCTACCATCAAAAGCTCCTTGAAGGCTCTGAACTAGTTCCTGAATAAACACAGTAGTTTTCCTGGGTCTCTGGGATAACATTAGTGTTGTACACGATCCATCTGGAAATGTTTTCTTATGTGTGTAACATCTGGCCATCTGACAGGCCACAGCTACCAAAAACTCCTACTTGGTGTGACAGCTCCGTCATCCTCAAGTTAATGTCAGTGCAGTTTCTGCATCTGTCACCAGGTGCTGAAAAAGAAGTACTTCCCTTGTTTATATAAGGAACGATGAAAGAATTAGAACAGTAGGGAAA